GAGATAACTCGAATGGAGTCTGTATTCGCTCCTTGTCTCTCCCACCATCATGCACGAGTCGTTCTCAAGGAGCGCAAAACGAATCAATCCTTCCGCTATGAGCATTCATGTGGGAGCTTACTGCCATGAGAATGAACTTTTTGATGTTTGCTTGACATCCGAGAAATTCAGTCAGTCATCGCCCTTGTGGGACACTTGACTGCCACGCGGTGAATAAAAATGGTTTATTTCAGTGTACGAGAGACGTTACAGAGTATGAATTGGAGTAGACGTCCGAGTAGGAATGAAAGACAGAAGGCGAAGGTTATAGGTCGTGAAGTGTGAAGTCTTGCGTTGTGAAGTGCGTCGAGAATTGAGGCGAGTATTGCGTCGAGAATTAAGACGAGTATTGCGTCGGGAATGGAACCAAGAATTGAGTCGAGCAGCTACGTTGAAGATTGAGTCGTCTTGAAACTACCACCTAAATCTGCATTACATGAGCTTTATATACGGTCATGTTACGTGCCCTTTGAAGCTAAGAAGTCTTTCTCTGTAAACATAAGTATCTCCGATGAATCTATGTTTTGGAAACGAAGGTTTCACAAGCGGCTACGCGAATCGGAGCTACAAAGGAATGTAAACCTACCGTCTACTCGCCTGGGAAAATGAGAAAAGTCGCAATTTGCGACTGCCCTGGTCAAACAGCCAGAAAAACACCTAGAATGATGGACCCACATGATCCGAAATTTCATGGCATGCGCTTCAGCCGAATAATCGTAGACCAGCAAGAAGAGTCTTATCTTACTATATCTGTTCAATTTTTTCCTCTTTGGTAGATTATTTAGTGAAAATGTGCTCTTTCCCTAAGTCATGTACTATACTGCATTATGACATCGTAAATTGTCTTTCAGTTTTATTAGCACCTGCTGCACGTGGTGTCGTGCCGACGTTTTTTTTCCCTGCAATACTTCGCATTTGCACTTTCCTCTGACAAGTTGAGTTTGCTGCGTGGTTGATGGGGTAAGGTGCAGTTGTATCGGAATGATCGCTCCGCGACAAGTGCGTCGTTGCGCCCGAGGGAGTATAGCAGAATGAAGCAGGAATAGCCAGTCCTATCGGGAATATGGGAACAGAAGAAGGAACGGCAAAATCGAGCCAAAAATAATAATCGCATATCGATCGAGCTGTATGAAGAGCGCTAGATTTGAACAACGAGGCCACGCACTGGAAAATTCACTGGAAGACTCGGTAGCTCTGCAGTCATCAATTGATGGGCTTGTGCGTTGGTCGCTAGAGTGGCAGCTTCCGTTGTCCTCTGTCAAAACTGTCCATATGCATATTGGACCCTCGCGCATTAACACTGCCTATCTCATGAATGGGCAAGAAATTACAAGGTGTAAGCAGGTTGAGGACTTAGGATTTCGCTATAGTGATAAGCTGGACTTCACCTCTCATTATAAGCACATTTACAGTTCTGCGGTCTACCGCACTTACGACATATTCAAGGTCGTACATATCTTTGGTTGTGAGTTGTTTACAGTTCTGCGGTAGACCGCCGAACTGTAAACAACTCACAACCAAAGATACCAAGGCCCTCATACAAGTATATAAGACCTACGTGCGACCCCTGGTTGAAACTGGGACAGTGATATAATGCCCGGCTAAAAAGAAAGACATTGCTCTTATTGAGAGGGTTCAAAATAACTATACCTGGAAAGTGCTCGTTCGCAGTGGCGATTTCTGTATTCCAAAACCCCCAAGGCTGCCATAAAGAATAAATATCTTGGATTGCTCACCCTTCAGTCTAGACGTAATTTTTTCGACTTAGGTATGTTACACAAGCTATTAAAGTGGTGTTGCTTTTTCCTCTTTCTATACGCTTATACCGTCGAAAACTAGAGGTGATCAACCCAAAATCTCTTTTTCAAGATCGAAGACGACGATTAGGCGGAATTTCTTTACAGTGAGAGCTGGTTTTGCATTTTTGAAGGCCAGCCGAGCTTCCTCACTTTACTGCTCTTTGGCTTCATTCAAACGATCTATATCACCGCACATCCTTCAAGCATAGTTGCCACCTTCACTATTCTCTTGCTCAGTGTTGTCTCAGTTTTGTTTTTGTTTTGTTGATTGTTACATTTTAAACGTCTTAAATAATGTACCAAATAAAGAAATAAAGAACTCGTCCACAACTGCCGCGTGCGATGAATCAATCGCACAAAACCGATTCAACGGCTCGTGTCCCCTATTGATGTGATAATAGCAAAGATCACAAAATGTTGCATTATCCCTTATTCCTAAGTTTCAGGTCTTCTTCGGCCTTTTCGAGATCTTCAAAAGCGAGGAATATTACTTGGAGAAATAGATGATGACGTACTTGATATATTTTATGAACACGTTTAATAACCTTTTTCTGATGTATGTATAAATATTTATGATATTAATGTCAACATCAAATATACAATAAGTGAGTAACGAAAAAAAACTATTAGGTCGTTCCGGAAGTATCTGCCAAAAATTTGTAGCCCGATTTTTTTTTTGAATTTTCGTGAAAATCTCCATGAAATTCTATGTGAGATAGGTGCCCATTTGTATTCGCATAACATTTCTGATTCTCTTTTGCTCGCTTATTCAACCCCCAAAGGTCTAATGTCCTCCCAAATTCGGCACCTACTTGACTCAAGCTTTGATTCCCTCACGCCTCTGATGAATCCCATCGAAACTTATAACATGTATTTGATCTCGGAGCTCTAAAAGGCGGTTTTAAGCACGCTTCTCCCTGGGATTCGTTTTCGGAAGCGGAGAGTGGACTATGAACCTCGAACCGATGGGGATAGCGACATCACAAAGTCTCCGGATGTGTTATGCGCCCATAAGTGGGTGCTGTCCTTCTATAGCATTTCTATGGAAGCTTTTTGAGAATCCCAAGAAATTTCTGACAGATACTTTTCGTACCACCTAATATGTAACAGTAGTATGCAACAGCTGTGATTTTGAGACCATTCAGAGTTTTGTCTCGTTGTCATCATGCTTGAGGTCATTTGTCCTATAGCCTGGCTGAGTAGTAGGATTAGAGCAACAGTGAGACGATTGGAATGATGATGCTGGCCATAATGGGTAGAACGCTCACTTCATTGCAGTAGTCCTCGTTGCTACAGAAGCAATATTTATACCTGAAAAAGCGGCGTCTCAATCATATTCCTGCATGAGTCGACAGTGCAAGAATATTGGGTATAGCAGAGGAGAACAGTTACGTAAGCACTAACATAGACTTTTTACTACTATCAATACTATTTGAGCACGTACGTAATGCCAGTGCTGTTGCTACAAAGTTAGGTATCTATTAATAAAGCTCTGATGCTCTTGTTCCATTGTAAATGACTAGTATAGCGCAAAAACGGTTCTTGTAATCCGATAAAGGACATGGCTTAAGTGGTGTAGTGGTAGGCTGCGCACTATCTCAAGACCGTGGTCAAGGGTTCAAATTCCGGATAGCTATCCACCTTGGCCAACCAAGCCTTTCGTCCCTGTGGGGTCGGTTTTTTGGTACCAGACTTGTCTGATATCAATAAACCGACCCCACAGGGATGAAAGACTGCCTGGGAGGATAAAAGTAGTGATTTGTATATCGGTTGGCCACCGCAAGTCATTGTATAGACCAGATACCCATTCAATACACTTTTACGATTCTGAATGGAAGTTGAATGCGTAGACGCACCCTCAGACGGGATTGACCAACCCTTGAGGCTTTATTCTAAGATAAAGGCGCATACGTGCATGTCCAGACCTCGTGATTGAATCTCATTGGTTTTTTCCTTCGACTTAGCAAAAAGTATTCTATTCCAGAGCAGTGCACCTTTTTCTGTCCAGCTCCGAAAATAGCATTCTGAACGTATACGAGCTTTTTCAACTGGTGTGAGGGTGTGTACGCCTACACCGCTCTGGAGGTCTGAAGCTATCTAGGTGATCTCATGGTCGCACGCCAACTAGGGTAGGTCTATGTTTCGCTTAGTTCACTTTCCAATGTATTGTGTGTGAAAGTCTCTATCGATCGCTCACTCGCCCATCTTCTTTATTAGGGGGGCAGGGGTAGCCATTAAAAATTCGTTAGATAGTCCTTTATGACCATTTGCAAATTTTGAATGCAGATTTGATACCAGTAAGGCGAGAACTAGCCTACCCCCCACTTCAAAAGATTACATCAGCCTAGGACCCTGCAGTCTCATTAATATGCCTTCCTCAATTCAGCTTTTTTTGCTGGAAGGGAAAGGAAAGAAAGGAAAGAAAAGGGAGATTGCTTTCTTTCAACAAACCTTACGGGAGGAATTTCGGCGCCTTCGAAGTCATAGCAACGGCCACTTTCAACATTAGTGGTATTCATTGGCGTAACTGACAAGGAATCCTGATTCCTAGAATAAAAAAAAAGATCATAGGGTTTGAAAACAATTTGTTAAGATTCGCTTGATTCTATACTCACCAACATTGCGATTTATAGACTGCATACGGAACGCCTGGTTTCATTGGGTCGGTGATTTTGACGCAGTAGAAATCGGTCTGTAACGTGGGAAAATCACGGAATTTCCACCGACCGAATTATCATCCTTTTCGAGAGATGAATCATCTAGAGAAAATGCGGGAAGTGCCGTACACGCACATTAGAGAGGAGTGGCCAGAGTTCGTTTCTGAGAGGATATGTCAGAAACGCATGCGACGGATCACCCCTTTTTGACAAAGAATCAGAATTGCTGTACCTGGAGGTACTCCCAAATCTTAAAGCGTGGTGTCGGATCCCTTTCCCTCCACCCCTCCCTCAGTCTGGTGCCCCTCACAGACTTCCTCGTTATTCTCAATTCCTTCGATATTTTCGTGAACCACCAGTGTCAAGATGCCCTATTCCAAAAAAGTTGATAAAACTGAGCTCTAAAGGAGGTTATGCGAGTCTATGGCGTTTAGAGTACCGTTTTTGAGCTGTGCGCTTGACTCAGAATCGCAGCGGCTTTTGATTGCCTATGTGACTAATACAACGACTTGCAAGGGTCAACCAATGCACTGCTCAGTGCTTTTAACTCCTTGCCCGAGTTTGGAAGAGTCTTCGATAGAGAATGAAGGCGTAGTAGACCTGAACACTTAATCGGACACCGATCCGGGTTTGGAACCCTGGACTATACTTGTAACAGTGAGTGCCACACGACACCACCTCACGTCTTCCCCCTTCCCTCCCCCTTCCCACCTCCACAAACCTTAACAACGATAAACTATTTGCCCGAGACAAGGCCCTTTTCTTGTGTGAAGAAACGCGGCAACGTAATGAAATTTCCTACCTGGCATTGATTGTTCAGGTTATTGCACTGATTGAGAGAGGAGCTTTTCATAGGGTAGTCGCCTTGCCATCCATTGCACTGCAGACATATGAGGGCAGCTGCATTTTCTGGAAAGAACGAGATATGAAGAACAGTCCGATTTCAGATTTTTTTCCTCGATGACAGTTGCGTGGAACGTTTGGTTATGTGAGAACGATGGAAGCCTTTCCGGCGTTGGTGCATATTGTTTTGGTATGGTCTATGCATTGGCTNTATGAGGGCAGCTGCATTTTCTGGAAAGAACGAGATATAAAGAACAGTCCGATTTCAGATTTTTTTCCTCGATGACAGTTGCGTGAAACGTTTGGTTATGTGAGAGCGATGGAAGCCTTTCCGGCGTTGGTGCATATTGTTTTGGTATGGTCTATGCATTGGCTTCGTGGCCAAATAATTCACTTTCAAAAAAAGCAATTACTTTCCGAACAATCCAACAGAATGACTTGGGAGGCCTGCCAACAATCAACTTCCATCTTATGAAATGTTGAAGAAAGTAAAACAAAACGCTAGAAAACTGTCAAAACAACTGTCAAACAAAGAAAACCACAAAATAAAGCGAACGCTTCGAAGACTTGGTATAAATACAATGTGAAGAGACTATAGAAGTACTATATGTTGTTGGAGCGTTACTGGCTACAATTATATCACCCGCAATACGATCTTGGTGAAGTTACCAAGACTGCTCCATCAAAGGCAAAAGAAAAAAAAAACAGGTGGACTCACCCACTGATGCGAAGAGTAGCAAATAGGGTAGCATTGTAGGAGAACAGCAAATGCAATTGAAGTGACGTATTTCCGATAGACAATCTGTAAGTATTATACTATACTAAGCAATTATATTCAACAACTACATACGGTGCGATCTGTACGGGGAGGTGGCAATTCTTCAAATCCTTTGGGAAAGGACAATCAGACAGATAAGCAGAAGGACATCTTGAGAAAACGATAAAACCTGATCCTGGTCTACACGTTATACTCGCTCTAGCTCCACTCAAGTATATACATTTCACGAATGCGATAATCTGTCCGATATGTCGGAAATTTAGCCCATAAGGGAGCCGAAATCTCAGAGAGTTCCTTCATCTAAGGTACACAAGCCTACCAGAAAAATTTGACTTGGTTTTATGAGCTGGAACTCAATGCTTTCCTTGTAATACACAAGCGATAATCGGGGCATTTAGAGAATAAATTCTTCTGTAAGGTCAGCCCCTGTTTTGGCTTCATCAGAAAGCTTCAGAGTATCCGATGTATTGTGGAGTAGTAGGGAGCAAGTCGAAATGAGGAGGATGATGCATGAACGTCTACGAACAGGGTGGAAGGAAAGTTAAGACAGACTTTGGGGAAAATGGCAAGGAGGAAAAAGAGAACCCGAAATACTCAAGGCTGTTCGTGAAATGCAGCATTAAATAGGAACACAGTAGAAAGAAAGTGTTGCAGAAAATGATGGTGAGTCATTGAGCTATGGCATTCAAAATGTCATCAACAGCAAAGTGAACAATGCGAGGCTCTCGTTTGAAAACTAGCTTGTTCGATTACAAAAAAAAATTTCGACTCGAACGATTAGCATAACAATTCCGATGAGGTGTCGATGATATTACAGAAGCGATGTTTATAGAAGTGGCAAAAAACACTTCGAAACAGCTTAGAGTCATGAAAACTGTTTCGACTGACATTTGATTCCGAATAGAGAAGAAAGGAATGAATTGGTCTGAATACTTTGAATAAACCATGTGTCTATTAGTGAAAACCCACTCGCCAGATCAAAATTGAAGCTATCTGAATGACAAGGTTTCTAGAACTACAACAGAAGATATCAGATGTGCCCGGAAAGCACAGGTATGGTTCGCTCCCCCCCGCTCTCTTTCCACGACCTGACGATAAACATAAGACCATCCCCTGATAAGCAGAAAGCAGGATAACAATTCGTGATTTCATGATGGGCACAGACCAGCAAGTTTCTTTTGTAACATTCGTGCCCCTTTTACAGAACCCTAGCATTCAAACAGCACGATGTTAGTGGGTGAAACTTATCTTTCTCCAGAACATCGCTCGCTCTCGCTAGGAATCCTTAGCTGAAAGGGTGAATCCAAACTGACTGCAATAGTGCACCCATTCAAGGAAATGAAAGTGCTCAAGTTCTAGACTCGCTCCACCCACTACTAGCAGGTGGGAATTCGTTCAAGCATATGAAGAATTGTCTCGAATTATACAAAAAACCACGAAGTGCAATCACGAGGTGTGATTGAGTCAAGAAAAGTAATTGAATTGAACAAATTAAGGACAATACTTAAGAGCATAGGCATAGTTGTAGCTGCCGCAAAACTGCTCGAACAAATGAGTCAGGTCATGGCATGAGTAATGAAATTTTTTTCACTACGAAGTTTTTTCTATAAGATTCTATGATTTAATTTCACGTCGAATCTAATACAAAAGGTGTTTATCTGTACTATAAATTTTAGAGAAATTGCTTAAAAACCAATCATGGCTTGCGAAATGGGGGGTCGAGGCGGAGAAATGTAGCCAAAAGTGCAAATCCATAAATTTGAACTCCATCTTCCTAAGAGATCGACCGTTTGATGGTGTATTATATACACAGTCAGAACTGCTTTTCATCATTTTGCTACCTTATGCCTAACAACACTTTTTTCGAGACTTAGTTTTGCCATCTTATCCTAAAGGTCTACCGCCAAGCCTTGCCTATAAGTTAGAAGGCTCAAGGAAGTCACAGAGGAGCCGGGGATCTTTTAGGTGGTAGGGAGTGGCTGTCGTGAATAGAAACGTAATTTACAACATTGATTGCTTTTATGAGGTATTCAATGGAAAAAGCATTGTAAAGTAGCATCTTCGAGATGTATGGACATCCTATCATGTAGCTCTGGAACCTATATGCGTGACAGGATGTCCAGGTACACCGACCTGAATCACATTTGAATAAATGCGAAACATATGTTTATATCAGTGCCTATAATCGTTCCATTTTGTTTTTTTGGAAATACGCTATCACACCAGAAGAATCCGAATGATATTTATACGAAGACCTGCATATGTCTGATAAGTCTCTGCTCAGCGTTTGATTTTTATACCAAATGAATTATCGCTTTCAATGGAGCACCATTCTAGTGAACATTAAGGAGACCAAAATTAAATACTGTAGGAGCGAGGCATCCGAACGAATCTGAAGCGAAATTAGAATACGTAAGTAAGAGAGAAAAATAAAGTCATTCGTGAAGTATCTAAAAGACCTGTAAAAATCGAGCTGCTCGATTGAGCCCGGTTGAGCTAATTCTCTTTGATTCGACCTGACNCATCATAGGCCTGAAAATCAACCAAAACTTCAAAGCAGGATGCATCAGTTTGTAGTGCAAGGCAATACTCAGTCATCCTTCAAAGGTATTATTCGATCTCAGAGCTGCGACTTTTACGGGGCAGAATTTAGTTCTGGAAGAAACGTATTTACCTACGTATCGTAGCAACCTAAGAAATGTCCAAAAGCTGCATTAGCATAAACTCACATCTTTCGAAATGCAGACGTCTCAACTCTCCATTCAAATGCGTGCAACCATTCGAAAATGATTTATAGACGAAATTGTGTTCTCGGGCGGGACTGCTTGTGCTTTCCTGGCACCGTGCTCCCCTTACACCACCGAGACCCGCTTGCCCTCGCTTTCTTAATGGCCTATATGTCATAGCTTATCTGCACTCACACATACAACTTGTTGAGAAGGCGAAGGCAAGCGGGGTTTTGGTAGTGAAGGGGACAGAGCACGGTACCAAGAAAGCATAAGTACGGGTTCGAGTTCCGTCTGAGACTGAAGTTTTGTCCATACAACCTTGTGAGACTTTCGGAACGCGTACTGCGGCGTAATAACAGCAGTTAACAAAACATCAAATCAAAACATTCGAATATGTTTCCTTTTTAAAGTGTTGCTTGTTTATAAAGATCAACGTTTACTGTTCAAAACAGCCTAACGAGCATTACTAGAAAGAAATCTGTGATTCCTTGCTTAACTTCTACTCAGTGGGGAAATTGATGCAACCAAATTGCGGAATGAACTTTCAATCACCACAGATGTGAGAGTCTCTTTCTTTTTGACGAGATGTTTGGAGAACAGGGCTGAGGTGGTGTAGCAGTAAGTGGCGCGCTATCACACACGAATGTTGCAAGGATCAATGCCCGCCTAGACTAAACGAGCCTTCCATCCCTCCGAGCCCGGTTAATTAGTCCAGACTCGTCTGGGAGGAGGAAAGCACTGACTCGTACATCGGCTGGTGATCGCAATTCATTGGCATAAGCCAAGTACACATTCATCACCCAACTAAGACTTCAAATTTGAGAAGGATACGTCCCAAAAGACCGACTCGATAAACGAGACTTGAAAGTCTGAGCGCTAGAGCGATAAGAACAGTGATATGTAATTTTTCGGAATTTGCAGGTGTCTTAGCGGAAATTTGAAAAAGTTCATAAAAATCTCATAAAATTCTAGTGTTTAGATTTGCAGATTCTGCAGTTTGCACCCAAAGGTATGGAAAACAGCTGACATGCAGCCGAGTGGAGCTGATCTTTTTCTCGTTTGAATTCCTTTTCCCTACACTACAACCCCAAATCCTGATCGGTAACCCACTAGTTAGTGGTGCTTTGTTCACCATATCCAGCCGTCGTAACAAGCCGTATTTCTTTGGTGATAATTTCGTCATTTGCATTTGCTGTTGTTTGGTAGATGATGTTTGTATGAGACTTCCATCTTATTGTCTCATTGTTCCCTACAAGTGCCAGCGGTGCCCATAAATCATTGCAAACCGTTGAGTCATTCTTATTCAACCCTATTCAATCCCCGCAAACCCACACCCCACCCCTTTTTTGACTCATCAGAATTGATACTACCCACGGATGAGGATATGCAATAGTTGCTTGAAATCTCAGATCTCTCAGTGGCTTCGCCATTAGAAACAACGGGATAATCGATCAGTACCACTAAACAGCGAATTATGTGACCATAAATTTGATCCTTACTTTGCCGATCAGATTCCATCTTNTCAATCCCCGCAAACCCACACCCCACCCCTTTTTTGACTCATCAGAATTGACACTACCCACGGATGAGGATATGCAATAGTTGCTTGAAATCTCAGATTCTCTCAGTGGCTTCGCCATTAGAAACAACGGAATAATCGATCAGTACCACTAAACAACGAATTATGTGACCATAAATTTGATTCTTACTTTGCCGATCAGATTCCATCTTTCTTTATCATTGATCATGATCGAGAAGGACCTTTTCGAAGAAGTCAACGTAACGGCAGAGGATGCCAGAGAGGGAGCGATTTGGGGACAGCTCACAAGAACAATGAACCATGCGAATGCCCAGAATAAAGCTAGGGAGGAGAAAAAGTAGAAAAAAGATAGGTCCTTTCGATATGAAACCGTGGTTGAAAAGTGCCCAATTCCTTTCGATATACTTCCTAATCAAGTCTCGGCTTGAAATTCCCTGTTCGTTATCCGATTTGTAAGAGTTGCATTTGCCCTTTGAGGAGAAATAACTCGCAATTCAAAAGGGTCTGATCAACAACACTATTGACATACATAGCTTGCCCCAAGATACTCTTTTCATGCATTTCTGTTTCCGAACGGAAGTGAACAAGACGAATTGAAAAGGGTAATCCATGGACTTACTCGAGCAGGTGCAAAGAAGGCTTGAGCCAGACAGGAAGTTTCGGAAAGAAGTGGAGAAGTCCTAATATTTGATGATCTTTCAAAGT